AGGGAAAAAGGGATTTTCGCCTAATTAATAACAAAAACGTCTTACAAAGGCTGACTAAATGAGTATTTATTAGGGCTCATTGTGAACCTGAATATTTTGGCTTGGGCTCGGGAAAATATGCATATGAAGATAAAGGGTTAAGTTTAATATGCTTAGGTTTTTTGATTTTCACAAGGTTTTTCGCTGTGTTACATCGATAAATATATCTGTCAGTCAGTACCTACGAGAACATTGTAGAGTGGGTACAGACTCTCTAATTGAAAGTTCTGAATACGAATGATCTGAATACTTATTCTGAAATTTCTTTTTATTAACTCCAATTTAATTGAATATTTACTTTTTCTTCTTCTTTCTTCCATTACGAGGAAGCTCATGCCTGCATCTCACCTGATGGAAAGTTATCCTCCACCTCACTAAGAGTTCTAGCAAGGACAATTTACTTACCTTTGATGCATCCAAAAACATCTATTATTAGATAGTCTTGCTCTAAAAAATCACAGCGAATTCAAAAACCTTAGATCAAGACGAACTCGTTTAACTTTTTTGAGCAGCAGGTCCGAATTTCGTTGACATCTAATTAATTCACGATCTTGTCTATTAAACCCCTCACATTCCACTTGCTGATGTCAACCACACGTTATCCCGTTAACGACTCGTCAAACTTCATGTGAACGCTCGTCGAATTAACTTGCCACTTGCTCCCTATTCCCTTTCGACCCATAAACTAGCGTGGATCTTATTGAATGTTGATTACGCGATCGGGCGGCCATAAGGCATGGCCCGGATACTTGGGCACAGTATGGAAGTGATCACTATCTTACTAAATAGGCGCACAGTGTTGGACATAGTCGGTATGTACCTATGTAATGTCATGGTGAAACAGTTATTTATTTTGATAAGGCTGTATTTGGGAGAACAGTAGCCATTATTATTAGGCACATTGCGGTATCTAGACACGCCGTAAGTCCATAGCCAAGTTCAAGTAAGGCGGTTATCACACTGCGCCGCGCTCCGTCGCGGAGCGCGGGGCGACAGATTTATTCATTGTATGCAAGTACCTCAGTTTGTATAGAAAACACGCGCGGCACTTCACACTGACAACGCGTCTGCGCGCGGGAACGCGTCGCGCGTGCTGCTTCCGCGAGCCCGCGCGCGGGGGCGCGGTGTGTGCCGCGGGTATGCCACACTGAGATCCGCAGTAACGCGCGTGTTTTTATGCATAAAGCACGTCTTCCATGATGGATCTCGACGTAGATAGATTTATATTTGAAATCGAACAGCAATATGGAATATGAAATGCAAAGATAAAAGTACAGTGGAAAGAGTGAAGCAATGGGAAGAGGTAATAAATATATTTACTGATCAATCAAATCAAATATGTTTTTAGTGATGATCCATTTATCGATCTCGTTCGTTAAAAGGGATGTATCCAATATCTTCTATGGACACGGCGTCTTCTAATTTAAGTAGGTATACAAGAACCAAATTGATAGGTAATGCATCTTGAATGAGTTCACTATTAACCATTCTACTTAATCGAAACAAACCTCTGTAAATATGTACTTTCACCACGACGTTCGACTGTGAAATGGACATTAGTTTTTATTTGACGCGGGGCACGCGGGCAACGCCGTTCCGCGCGGGAAGGCAGATCACACAGCGTGGTGACGCAGATCTGCGCCTGTTTCGCCGCGCGCGTTATCTGTCGCCACGCGTCCCGCGACGGAGCGCGGAGCAGTGTGATAACCGCCTAAGTGACAGAAACTGGCGAGCAGCACCGTGCGTAATATTACACGAACCATTTGGAGCCACTTTTGTCCCCCTCATATTTAGGTTATTAAGTAAACTAATCATGGCTTTTATCTTCGTTAAACATACAGGGAATTAAAGGGATCAATTTTGTAAATCAAATAGGTTTTGGGGCTGATCCAAAAGTGGGACACAGTCAGCCCCAAAAGTTACTGTATAATTGTTTCAATATTGTTTAAATCAAACCAGATTTTTTAAGTGACAACATCATAATATTATGTATTTTACCGAAATCATGTAGATTATTATTAATATTATCTGAGAATATGAAGCAAAATTTTATATTATTTAAGTAGAATAAGCATAAGTCTACTGAATCTTACTATGTTACGGTTTGTCAGCCAAATATCAGTTTGTGCGGAACACCACACTATTCTCCCTTATTGGATTGAAGGAGCCATCGGTTAAGAAAATAACCTTGAATGCTGTAGGGTGACCATCAAACACATATTTGTCTTTTTCTCTTTGACTACTCTCAACAAATCATAGCCATTTTCCAATTGACATTAGTATGAAGTAATAAGCTCATGTTGATCTTGCAGAGAGTTCCTAATAATATCTTAGTTCTCATCATCAGATGAAATTGAAAACAAACTCCGTTCCAAATAAATACATAGCTCATTAAAACATCGTTCCGTTAAGTTTTCGTCAAGTTTAGGGCCTTTCTGTCGCTGTGATGGTCTCTACATTGGTTGTTATTTATACGAATAGATCTAACATAAGACAAATCCTCCACACCCCCTAACCCATAGCCACCCTACCCCAAAAGTAAGTCACTCAATCCATAGCCAACGATGAGTTTACAATAAGTTTGAGTCGGGTCAAACTAAATTCGCCTCGTCCTTCTGAGGGACGATTTACTAAAGTCATATTCATTACTAAGCTTAATATTCCAAAGTGATTTTAAGCGGAACTTCGCAGGGCTAAGGGACTCTTAATAACGTCTAATGACAGCTTAATTGCTTGTAACTTAATTTAAATATTACGCTTTCAATTTTTTTATTTTTTAGAAGCGACTAGCCCACTAGGTAAGTACGTCGAATAACCATTGACATCAGACTATACTCCTGATCTGACACAAGTATTTTATCTTAGCTGTAAAAGTGCACTATAAATTGCTAAATAGGTACTCTTATTTAAAAAGAAATAATTATATACCTGGGTAATTATAGATAAATAACAGATTCTACTAGAGATGGGACATACTCGTACTACAAATTGAGAAATGATGTCTTTATAGGTAATTTATTTATTTCCACACACACTATAATTACAGGTAAGACCTAATGCGACTTAACCTAGCTGTATGTCTAAAGTAGCTTTAGCATTATCTACTCAATCATACTTATTTTCTTGATTTTCTACCTCCTATAAACTTATTGCATTACTGAAGAAATAGTTTTCAACGCTTTGACAACTTATATTCTGACTCGCTCGTAATTATTGACAATATTCTATAACTAAAATGCTTTTGTGTTGGAATTCAAAGAGAAAAATACTAAATTAAAGCAATCCTTCTCTTTGTGATTAGCGGTTATGGGCTTAATGCTAAGAACCTAAAGCTCTATTTCGCTTTATCCGGGCGGGCAAAGCTCTAAAAAATTCATACATATTCCAAGCCTTCCATTAGGCTAAATTTGTATTCTCTACTGTATAAACATTTCTTGCTTTGAAATATTATCAGCTAGATGAATATTCAGGCTATTTTTCACCGAGAATGGTAGGCAACAATTAAGAAACTAATGGACAATAATACGTAGTTCGATATACGAGGATGTTTATTGCCATGTTCATAGCGACTTCATTTCATCGTCAAATATCCGCCATTTAATTTTGTGAATAGAAATAAAATTTAGATTAAGCTACCTGCCTGCGGAAAGTAGGTAACAGGACCGGTCGTTGTAGAAACCCATGGGGGAGGCCTTTGTCCAGCAATGGACGTCATTTGGCTGAAACGAATGAATCTGCCTAATGTGACGTCAGCATTATTATAAGCTTCACCTTTTTAAATAAATAAATGAAAGAGCAAAGTGGAGGTTCCATTTAGATGTATGCGATAGCAACTTTTCCTGTCTGTTAAGTATTGATACCTCAGATCATAGAAGGGAAATGCCTACTGACACAGTTTTGATAAATTTTGGCATAGAGATTAGATTAAGCTAAGGAAAACGTTAAATGGGGAAATAGAAAAAGTTTATAGTATAAGCACACGTTGAGTTATAGAAGGGTCAAAAGTAGCACCAAGTGGTTCGTGTAATATATGCTCGGTGCTGGCTAGCTAGTAGTGTCTAGTTTGACAAAACATTGACACACAATAAGCAAAAAGGTCAAATAGGGTCTAATATCAATTTTTATGTGTTACCCAGAAATTTTAAAGTCAAATCAAAAGAAGCGGGTGTTCTTTTCGCTCGACTTATACGAACTTTTATTTATTATTTGTTGTAGTATGTAATTAAAAAGTATTTCCGAATAGTTTATACCAACTAAGATAAATGGAGCAATACTTTAAGAGAAGAACCGAAGGCAAGCGCGCTTCGCTATTTACAGAATTTAGTTAGAACGCAGGTATTTCTGTAAATGCACCTTTATTTTACGAACTACCTTACTTTTGCGGGCACCTATTTCGTCGAGTGGCTTGCACTCTCCGACCAATGTGGTTGGGTGCTCTCCTGAACGTTACGGGAAATGGCATTTTAGTTTTGAGAGATATCTTAACATCGATGTTTTTAGAATCTGCCTGCAGCATAATATTTCATTCTCATTCTGATGAATCTTACTTTTTCTTAGTGGTGCAGTAATAAAACTTGATATGAAACGAATCTTAAATAAGGAAATCGTTTACTACGAGTACAATAGCGAGAAAGCCCACCGCACTATCGTGCTCATGATGGTAGATGGTATCATCAGCGATCATGTAGACTTGATTCCAAGTAGTCGTATAGTAACATTGGTTTTAGCTTACCACGAGGGGTAAACGGGACTTTAAAATAGAATAAAAAAGAAAATTACTTCACTTTCTACAGCAATCCAAAAAATGCATCTGACACAAATGTGACTTTGCCTAGAGAGGCTGATCGTTTTACAACTTCTCCAAATTACTCACAAAACTGTACGTTGCAAACGAATACATATCTATAACTAATGTCACATTGGCTATAGCCAAATGATCTAACAGGCGATCCTTCTTCCAGTGCCAGCATACAACGTGTCAATCTACTTCGTGGAGGGCACGGTGCTGGATGTACTCCAGACTGGCAAGACAGCCCTGGTGAAGTGCATCGCCCATGGCGCGTATCCGCAGCCCGACCTGGCGTGGTGGATGGACCGCAAGCACCTCACGCAGCATAGCAATCAGGTGAGAAGATAATTCTTTGGACATAGTTGATCATGACGACCTTGAAAAAATTACTCGACTGCAAACCTTTTGACTTGCCCAAACTTGCCTAACCTACAATGGCATTGATACAGGATATCACAATTAAATTAAGCTCAGGTATTTTATTAATCAAGAAGAAAAAAAAATCTTCTTTAAGTTTGTCACCTATCATCCGTCTAGCACTAGAGAAAAGTCGATCCTGAACTTCGAACTTCTCCTTTGTTCTTCGGATCAGTTAAACTTTCCCCTAGGATAAAATTGTCCTTTACTGTTTGGGTCTTTATTAGCTGTCAAAGCTGTAGATCCCGGCTACACAGGAGTGGCAACGGTGGGAATAAGAGGTGGGAATAGACCTGTTCTTCAACAGTACAAAGATATCATAAATGAAGCCCTAAGTACAACAGTGTATGTAGTTGCCTTGACAAAAAACTGGGACACTAAGCATTGTTTTTTTGCAGAGCTGGAGCAACTCCTCCCGGATTTCGGTCTCGTTCCTGGAGCTGACCCCGACGGTGGTGGACAACGGCGCGACCCTCGCATGCGTCGCCACCAACCCCGCCATGGCGCCTAGCAGGGGGTCCAAAGCTGACGTCATCACGCTCAACGTCACTTGTGAGTTAAATTTTAGGGAATATAGAAGAAGACGGCGTTTTCTTCGCCACGACCCTGTAGGAAGTCAATAGCTATTGTCACTTGTGAGTGGGACCTACAAGGGAAGACCCTTCCATTCCTAGAAAATACTGACGGTGGTGGACAACTGCGCGACCCTCGCATGCGTCGCCACCAACCCCGCCATAGCGCTCAGTAGGGGGTCCAAAGCTGACGTCATCACGCTCAACGTCACTTGTGAGTGGGACCTTCAAGAGTAGACCCTTCCATTCCTAGTGTAGACACTAACGGTGGTGGAGAACCAACCCCGCCGTGGCGCCCAGTAAGGGGCCAAAGCTGACGTCATCACGCTCAACGTCACTTGTGAGTGGGACCTCCAAGGGTAGACCCTTCCATTCCTAGTGTAGACACTAACGGTGGTGGAGAACCAACCCCGCCATGGCGCCCAGCATGGGGTCCAAAGCTGACGTCACCACGCTCAACGTCACTTGTAAGTTGAATTTTGAAGCAAGCAGAACATAGCAAAGTTTTCTACTCCATAGTACCCTCGAGGAATTCGAAAGCTGGCGCTATCACACTCTTCAGATGATCTAATTCAAAGCACATCTCCATCAGGAATACGGTATCGTTGTCTCCAACAGTGGGGACAGTTGTGACCCTTGCGAGCATGATGAAGTTTTCTACGCCATACCCAGCGTGATGTCGTCACCACCACCACCACCAATAAAAGTCAGCTGTCGACCTAGGGTCTTTTATTGGTGGTTAAGCTGTAGAGCCTGGCTACACAGGAGTTGCAGCGGTGGGAACGAGAGGTGGGAATAGTCCCGTAGGTGATGACGTCACGCTTAACGTTGAAAACTGGACTCTGGGGTTTCAGTCTGTTAACTCCGTTATTTTGTTCACAGATAGCCCTATAGTAGAAATATCGAGAGTGGACGACGGCTCTTTGACTGAAATGGTTGAGCTGGACACCCTGAGCCTGAAGTGCGAAGTGAAGGCCAACCCACCTGTAGACAAGTTTAAGTGGTATTTTAATGTAAGTAACATTGATCAAACCCTCAAATCAAATCAAGATTAAGATCAAATCTTATGTATTATCCTAAGCGTAAATGATTTAAATGCGCTGGACGCAGGCCGCTACCAACCGGGCAACATGGAAAGCATTGGGGGAGGCCTATGTTCAGCAGTGGATGTCCATGGCTAAGATGATGATGATGATACTACACATACATATACCGTGAACTATTCTTCTTTTCTCTTCATATAGCTGGTATCTATGACGCAGATCTGTAGGCGTAACTTATAACTATTTTTGTCCATAAATCTGATTTGCCTCCTCTGGGCAGCTAATTATTAATGATAGTTTAGTTTGCTCTCCGTAGCTCGTAAACAAAATTAACATGGAAACTGTTGCGCAAGACTTAAAATGTCAATGCAGGCGTGTTATTGGTAGAACTTGCTTCCTCTTCTAGACAACCCAAGGATGACAATTCTTTGAAATAAAAACATATTCCTTTCCTGAACAGACTACGAACACTTAACTTCAGATTCCCGTAGCTACGCCGTAGCTACGTCGTCCTCGTAGCTACTTAACTAAGAATGATTTACTTCTCACTTGAGTTCACTTGATTACACAATGCGCTAATTAGTGGCAGATTTGCGGCTTACCGTTGACAGGCAGAGATTAGTCACGGAGTCACTTTAAACCTACAAACCTACTACTATGAAACTATCAAATAAATTAAACTATAGAACTAGAAATGGTTATGAAAAAGGGTTAAAATTTCAGTGCATGCATTTCCCGTTATAAGTACGAGGCTAAAAAAAGTCAACTAAGGCTGGATTGCACCATCTTACTTTAAATTTGTTAAACGTCAAAAATCTGTCAAATTCCATACAAAAAGCACCGGTTATTGTCATAGTTACCGTCATAGTTAGGTGGTGCAACTCAGACTAACACTTCTTATGTTGACAACTAATTCATCTTCTCTGCATAAGTGACTTAAGGCACATACTTATTCTAACAAAAATTGTAAAAATACGATCGTACGTTAAACTCTAAAATACATCTTGTATCCAAAAACAAATTACCCCTTCCAATATCGCAGAAACATCAATACAAAAATGTCACGCAAAGTTAATATCGGCAGCCTTCGACGTGGCGCCTTACATCACTGCCTGCATGTCCCAAAAATTGGGTTCTCGGCTCGAAACAACGTCATTAGTGATACGGAGGTTTGACATGCCATATCATGTAATATGGGTCATGCGACACATTCATCAAAAACGAATCCTCACTCCAACAAGAAAATTCAAAGTTTTATGTCTAGAAACACCTAGATTAACTAAGATAAACTACTAGATTTCATTAATATGCGCGCTATAACTTACGTACCTTTTCATCGCGAAATTCCGTTCCTATCGGCCAATGGGTTATGAATATTCGTCCAAGGTTATGAACGAGTAGGTGTAGGCTGCCTCACTTTTAAAACATCTATCTATCAGAGACATACCTAGACTAAGGAATAAGGATACGTAGACGATGTATTATTCTAAAATATGTAGCGAAAGAGTTGAATAGGCAGATAAAAGATTACCATCAAAGATTAAGAGCGCTTTCACATTTAGGCGATTTAGCAGCACGACAAACGCGCGACGCACTGCCAAAAATTTCATACTATGTGCACAGTAGCTATGTGACAGCAGATGCATGCCTTCACATAAAAACGCTGCCGCGCTGCAGTCGCGCTACTAACGCCCTAATGTGAAAGCGCTCTAAGATCATGCATTATAGGGTTCCGTACCTGAAGAATGTCAATGGAACTCTATAAATATGCCACCGCTGTCTGTCCACGAACTACGATATGTTAGGAATAGGAAGGAAAATAGATAGAAAATAGGAACTGAATGTAGATAGAAAATAGGAATGACTGAATGAGAATACATGAGTATTCTCTGAACAGCTATGTATTCTCTATTGCCAAATTGTCGAAACCTAGTGCTTATTCTTTCTGTCTCAGTGATCATCTGATGTCATCAGAGATAATTAAAACCAAAGGAATTCGAGATTATTAATCAATATCTATTCCATTCCAGGATAGTCTAATTAGATCTGGAGGCATCTGGGGGGACAGCGTGACGTCTTCCAGCCTTCAAATAGAAGAAACTACACGCAGACACGCTGGGAGGTACTCCTGCGCAGCGAGCAACGCCGTGGGCGAAACTAGAGCGGACCCCGTCAATATTACCGTGCATTGTGAGTATTTTAAATCAGATGTTATGGATATCCGTAACCGTAACCGAAACTTTCGGATATCCGAAATAAAAAAATATCCGAAACCGTAACCGATTCAAAAGTTTCGGATAGTTTCGGATGTAGGCAGTTTAAATTGTTTTTGTATAGCATTATAATATTTAAAGGCATAACAGCCTGATTTACCTTTATAATGCCATCTAGTATCAATTTTTACTTTTTTATTACTTTTTATTCGATGTAAAGTCTGCGGCCATGAATGATCGTGTTGGACAACTATTGCAAATTGCATTCTAAAGCACAGATATCCGTAACCGTAACCGAAACTTTCGGATATCCGATATAAAAAAATATCCGTAACCGTATCCATAACCGAAACTACATATCCATAACATCCCTATTGTAGATATGGATTAAGTACTTAACTGTGGGTGGCACAGATTAGATGATAGCGATTGTCACTTGTGTAGTTAGAGATAAGAAATGATTAATATCAATGGATTTAGGAGTGTGATCGAGTGTCGTGAAACCAAGATCTAAACTCAATTCATTCTCCTCAAATGTTATAGATACATCTGCAGTCTTTTCGAATTTCGTAAGTGATAGGTTTCGTAAACGCGCGACAGCTTCGCTACTAACGCGCGTTAGTCGCATTTGCAACGCACTACAGAAATGATGCCAACGCGCTACTAACGCGCTACTACAGCGCGACTGCAACGCTACAAAAGTCACCGTCGAGGGCCCGATTGGACACTTAAGACATTACCGATCCTAACTTGATGTCTGTCTTTTTTTCCAAAATTTAAAACTGACACTATACTTTCTACATTTTTCACGAATTAGTTATTTTCGCTACTCATATGATAAGTTTAAAAAAACACCAAGAAGCACGGTCTTAAGTCGTAACTCTGTGAGATTAAAAACTGGTCACCGGCAGCGCCTAATTGCTTGTGAGCCTATAATTTTGCTGTAAAAGTAATCCTATTGTGCCAATAAAGAAGCATGTTTATTGTTGAAAGTCATACACTGTTGCATGTCTGATATCCGTGTAAATCACGTAGTAATGAGTACCCTTAAACAAGCGTTTGAAGCAATAAATTGCATTCTAAAGAAAACTTTTCAAGATATTTTTGTTTAAGTTGAGTACTAAAATGAAGTGTTTTACATGGTGTTACTGACCTGGCAACGGTTAATACCAAAGACCCCTAGTTGACCATCTGGTCTGGTCACAAAGCAAGAAGCTTACTGACCGAAGAACTTGTATTAGGTATCTCCTTAAGATTATTTTTTTAAAGAATATTACCAATTTGTAAATACAAATGTTTATTTGTATTGAATAGGCTCCGAAACACTGAACCGATTTGAAAAATCCTTTCTCCATTAGAATCTTATATATTATTATTATTCTTGATGAACATTGGCGGTACGATGTTCGCCGCATCAGCTAGTCTAGCTAAATGAATACAACCGAACTGGGAACAAAAACACAAAGTGATATCTACTTTGAGTGTTCTAACTAGGAATAGAGAGGGAATCTAACTCTTCAAACGCAGCAGTGCGATTCTATAAAAACACACTGTAAACATCGAACGTAAATTGTATTGGCATTCTATAAACACGTCAATCAATTCGAATTTATTCTAGCGCTGCAGCAGAAGTCTGTATATTTTGTTCAATAAACAGAAATAATGCAGATAATTCTAAATCTTTTTGAAAATAATCTTCTTGCAGACCCTCCAGAATGCGCGGAGCGTGGCGTCGTGCTTGTGAAAGAGACAATAAGATGCAACGCTCGTGGTTTACCTACCCCCGACACGTACTTCTGGCACGTGCAGCCGGCTAACTCAGACGTCCAGCACCTCACTACCGGCTCCCACCTGCTAACCCTGGCTCAGATCACTGGGCCTCTTGTTGGTAAGTTCCAGAGCCTCGCCTCTATAAACAGGGCTAGAGACAATAAGATGCAAGCATGTACGATACTTCTGATACGTGCAGCCGGCTAACTCAGATGTCCAGCACCTCACAACTGGCTCCCACCTCCTGACCCTGGCTCAGATCACTGGGCCTCTAGTCGGTAAGTTCCAAAATAAGTTCCTACACTCTGCACAGAACTGAACAAGAAAGGATGCAAGCCAGCAAGTTTCTTCTGGCACCTGTAGCCAGCTAACTCAGGTGTTCAGCACCTCACCACCGGACCTCACCTGCTAACCCTGGCTCAGATCACTGGGCCTCTTGTTGGTAAGTTAAGTTCCAAAGTCCCTCCACTATACACAGAACTAAAGAAGACAAGTCGATGCATATGTAAGGTACTTCTGACACGTGCAGCCGGCTAACTCAGACGTCCAGCACCTCACCACCGGTTCCCATATCCTAACCCCGGCGCGATCACTGATGGGTCTCTAGTTGGTAAATTCCAGAGACTCGATTCTATGGACAGAGCTACAGAAGAAAATAAGAGCCAAAGATCGCGACCTTCCTCCCCCCGATACGTACTTCTGGCACGTACAGCTGGCCGCTTCAGATGTCCAGCACCTCACCACCGGTTCCCACCTCAAGTCGGTAAGTCCCCCACTCTACACAGAGTGAGGATTCGTCACGGAGCCCTAAGGTCCCATCAAAGAACACATAGACCTAAAAGGATGAAGAGACGTGCGAAAATTTTCAAAAAATTATAAAATCATAAGTCTTTAAAAAGAAAATAGGTATCAAACTTTAATGACTGCCAATTCATTTTATATGAGTAGTCACTTTTCTTTACTTTGTTGGACACTATGTGTCCTTAAACACTTACTTATATCTTCTTATTTGGAGGGGTTCGAGTGTTTTTCGTATTGACATAGAAAATTGGTGACCCGATTTTGTTACGTTGTAAACTTGAAAAACGCTCAATAATGATGAACGAACACATTTTAAATATATTAGAAAAATGCACCTACGCTTCAGGGAAAGAGATGAATAAGGGTTCAGTAATTTACTTATTTTTTATCTACATTTATTTCACTAACAAATCATCAAGTCTTTTAGTAATTTAAAATCTATTAGTATCAAGACTATCAAGGGTAGGTACGTGTACCACAATCTTGCCTTACCAGGTGCCTTCCAGCGCTTCGGAAAAACATTTGGCAAAAGCTGAGAAGCCGTTCCCCTATCTGTGGTTAAAATGAATTTATCGTAATTTTATTATAATTAATATTTAACAGGCACTCTAAAAGTGACCTGTGAGGCCAGCAACGGCATCGCGTCGCAGTACCAGCCGTGCGTCAAAACGTTCAGCTTGGACCAGCTGAGGCCTCCACAGCCGAAGCAGTGCGACTTGGCTTACGAGCACGGGGAGTTCCAGATGAGATGCATACCAGGTAAAAACACATCAATCAATCAATCAATCAATATCATCAATCATCATCATCAGATCGGACTACACTTTTTTGCAAATTGTTTTGTTTGTTATCATAAAATTGATCTTATTTTTGTAAGGAGGCTTTTAAAAAGCAATTTTACACGTCCTAGTATTAACCCTACCACTACTTCGGAACAATAAATGGTCATGTTGTCACGTTAGGCCTGGTTCAGACACGTGCGGCAACCGATTTCTGGGTGGTTCTCATTAGCGAGGCACTGAGGCGGTCACCGTGCGCTAACGACTTGATGCAAATTAACGAGAACTTCCCAGAAACTAGTAACCAGCTGCCAGACCAGCAACCAGCTGTCTGATCTAAGCCTTAATTACACCAATAAGATACAGTGTTTACTCGTAGCTTGATGTAGTCGTTGAACATGATGACAGATTATTTTGTTGTGTTATATGAAAGACCTTTGAATAATGTAAGTATGTCATTGGTGAAAGAATTACTTCATAAGCATGGCATCTCCCCGAGTTTGAATGTACCTAATTTCATTTTTCAACTTTCTCTAAAACGCTCTTTTGTCTCCTTTACAGTGGAAAACGCGACCTACTACGAGGTATCCGTATGGCGGATGTCTCCCTCAAACTCCTCCTTGTACCTCGAACACAGGGGCTCGATGGGCTTCGGGGCCCGTCAGGCCCAAGCCCACGGGGGTGGCGTGTGGCTGGTGAGAGGAAGCCTGAGGATGCTGAGGCCTACAGACGAGGCTGGGGCTGCAGCGTGCAACAGATATGGATGCTCGGACCCGCTGTTGCTGAGGCCTACGGAGAATTTGCTGCATGCGGCCTCACCGCCTTGGTGGCACTGTGAGTACTGTAGATTTGTTTTTTGACTGGCTTCTTTGGATTTCGATAAAAAGTTTCATATTCTTGTTGCTATTCTTATGTACCTACTAACTTATATTAAGCTATCATATTGAATAGTTTCGTTACTACTATTGGACGGATTTAATATTAAAATCCGTCCGTCCAATAGTTTTTGCCCAAAAGTGGGTTTTTTTTATAACAGCTGGCAATGGATAATTGAAATCGGCTTAGTCCCAAAGGTTCTATACTAAGAAAATACTTTTTTATTTTTAATGTCGTGGAAGTCGTGGATCCGTTGGGAATTAAGTATGAACTTACATTTTTTTAAAACAATAATGCTGTGGACCTTTGAGGAATAAGCTTTGGAAATGGTTTAAAATCACCAAGTGTTGATTATTTCAGTTTTAGGACTGGAATGTAGAAAACTTATGTCTTTAAATAACTGTCTTACAAGACTGATGGTGTCTTTTCCCCAATTGAAAAAACGATTCCTCTTCTCATTCCAGTTGTAATGGACAAAGACGTGGGAATCTCCGTTGGCGCCGTGGTCCTGGTGGCCGTGTTCATAATCTCCACAGCCCTGGTCATCCGCCTGGCTCGGAGACCTCGGCTGAAGACCCCCACCCCGGTCATACAGGTGTTACAACTGGATGACGTCACGCAGTACATTGATACGATTGCTGGTAAATATTCTTGTACTTGTATCTTAATTATTTAAATTCTTTAGCTTTTTCAGTTTGGTAAACTGATGCTGGACTATACAGGGTGTTCAAAAGTAATTAAGTAAATAAATCCAATACAAAAAGAGGGCTAGTATCAAGTTAGTAAAATCTTGTTTAATTTAAGAATCTAATGCTCAACGACCAAAATTAAATCATTTCGTTGGGTTCATTGTATGAGATATCCATTTTGTTTTTTCATAAATACCTGCAATAACTACTTGCGTCCCATAGTTCACGTTGTAACGAGACATTTACTCGTGGTTATAGGGTTGAGTCGCAATACATACTTACACCTCAACATCATTGGGAAAAGCCGTTACCAGGCGATTGCCTTTTGTTATCCAAACGTGATCTTATTAACACTAGAGCTCGAAAAGGCTACAAAAGACTCTCCCGTCTATTTAACTACACTATTTGCTTTCTTACAATTTCCATACAATTTCATAATTTTTCAACTTTGTAAACTTTTGCAGAAAACAAGCGAGCTTCCTGCAGTCTTCGCTCAATTCGCTCGTGCAGCAGTGGCTACTCCGATGGTTCCGCGCCCGAAGAACCAGTGGCGCCGCCTATCGACCGTCGGCGGAAACCCGTCGCAGTCTGGGAACACTGGGACGCACCACCCCCTGACGTCACGCTCACTTTGCATAGAGAGAGCGCTGTGTAGTGCATAATCGTTTCGGTAGATGGCGTTAAATTGGGGTTTTCTAGCTGTCAAAACGCGGACCATTTTGTATGGCAATGAGAACTATGACGTCATCAGCTAGGAAAATTCTAATTTTATAGCCAAATGAAGAGAATAGCAGTGGTTAAAGCAGTTGTGTCTTGGAATCATTGGTTATTGGTGTCAACTACCCAATTGTCACTAACTTGATAGCGCTGCAAGCGAGTTCAGAGTTGTCGCGCTTACTTTATACAGGGTGAGCGCTGTATTGTGTATGAAAACTATATTGATGTGAATAGATGGCGCCACAGGCAAGACGAAATTTTCCGAAGCTGCTGGCTGGGTCCGCTATTGCCAAATCTGTCACTGCTGGATGTGCTTTTGGACAGACTTGAATCAAGTTCGAGTTAATCGACTTATTACAGTTTTTTTATACAATGCAGCAATAATCAAATTAATTAATTGTTACGTCTGAACCCATACCTATAGTCATCATTAATTCGAATAAAATATTTTTCAAATAGAGGACGTCCGTTGTGGCTAAGAAAAAGCTTTATTTCCCAGAAATAGAATAAAAAATCTATCAATAAAATAGACATCGAAGAGTTTTTCAATAAAATTTTGTAAATAGCCATATTAATATAATCTGAATTTCGAATAATAGTCAAATTATCTGTTAATTATACAAAAGATTCTGTCCTTGTTGTTATTAAAAACGAAATTATATTAATTGATTCCTGTCCTGTCATATTTAAGAGCATTATAATGTGTGTGACACGAAAGCCAACTATAAGCGACTTTCAATGGTTAAAATAAATAAAATGTTTATTATTATACAATGTCATAGTTTATTGATAAGTTACAAAATAAATTATGTAATTACAAATAAGTTACTATATCTAACAATAAATTACTTATATTAAAATTCTTTTTTTTTTACTTCAAAATGAAGATTCCGGGATATCACCTCTGTCTAGCGAAGTTTTGGATTCTTCTAGAACGGCTGAAACCTTGTTATCTTTGTCACCAACGACTGTTATAGAAGAGCCATCTGACCTTTCTTGTTTGAATGGGAATACCTTCTCTTCTTCAGGTAGAACAACAATTGGATTGGCACTCAATGATCCTTCAGTTGTCACAGCAGTACTGGATGATTCTTGAGGTGTAGTGGTCTCAGGAACTGAGGTTCTTAAGCTTGATCGTGACGTTGAAGTCCTGACCCGTTTTCTGTACACTCGTTTTGGCTTAAAGTGGCTGGATTTGGTACTCGTAGATACCGCAACCGACTTTCTTGTTGTATAAGGTACCGCTACAGTCTTCTTTGTAGTATTAATTGTTTCTTGTACTGGCTTCTTTATTGGCACTGGCTCATTGACTTCAGGTGGCGTCACATATACGTCTTTTGGCGCTTCAGAAACATCTATACTTTGCGATTCGGATGTCCTATTTATAGCACTGATGACGTTATTGACTTTTTCATCTTGGAAATCATCTGGTTTGTGGTTATTTACCTGTTTGTACGAGAATTTTGACAGAATAGGTGTGAATGTAACTTTTTGTGGACTATCATCATCAGTTTGCGTTACCAATAAAGGAGCGTTGACTATTGATGAACTTACTTCCTTGTCGTGTGCTGCAGTATCAAATTTGGCACTTTCAACTTGTACATGTCCCGAGCCAGAATATGATGTAGATCCATCTTGACTCACCGTTTTGTACGAATAATGGCTTGAATTCGAACTGACGGCAACTGAGTGCGACTTACAATTTTTACTTACTCCGCCACGGGTGCGATTTTTGCATTTCTCAGCTACTGCAGAATGTCCTTTGTCATGTTGATGAGTTTCTGCTGGCCCGGTGGGATACAGCATTGGTCTATCGAGCTTAGCACCATCAGTAACTTTGACATCGGAATAATCGGTCACGCTGCCGTCTTCATGCACTGTCTTGTAAGAGAAACCTGTATGAGAACTAGGAGAAGGTCTAGAATTTTCATTTTGAGAATTGACATTAACTTTCACTTGTTCTCTGATATGTGGTCGCTGTGGCATTTCATAACTATTCCTTACATGTTCATATTTGTACATGTGCTCTGGTCTTTCTTCTACTATTAAAGTGTTAATCTGATTATAGTTATTTTTCATAAAAGCGTCATTATTCATATGACTATAGGAGTAACCTGTTTGTGCCTTCGGCGCATTGTAAACTGGTATCGGGGCTGCATGTCCGTCCACACCAGACACAACCACAGTTGGCCTTCCAGGTTCAGTAAAGACAGCCGCTGGTCTTTCTCCTCTGTGTTCATTTACCTTTCCTGATCCCGTATACGTGGTTATTAAACCGTCATTCCGTACATGGTCATAAAAGTACCCTGAGCCAGACGGTGCTTTTGGTAAATTGTAGACAGGCATCGGTGCTGGTGGCCCTTCTACGTCAGCTACAACTACAGTCGGTCTTCCAGGTTCTGTAATAACAACAGGTGGCCTTTCTCCTTCATGTTCAACTACATTCCCTGATCCAGAGTAAGTGGTAACTGAGCCATCATTATGAACGTGATTGTAAAAGAAACCGGAACCAGAGGGTGCCTTTACCTTGGGTAAATTGTAGGCAGGAATTGGTGCCGGGGGTCCTTCTACATCAGCCACGACGACAGTTGGTCTTCCAGGTTCCGTGATAACCATGGCTGGTTTTTCTCCTACGTGATCAACACGTCCCGATCCAGAATAAGTGGTCATAAAACCATCATTATGAACATGGTTGTAAGTATACCCTGAGCCAGACGGTGCGTTTGGTAAATTATAGTCTGGCATTGGTGCTGGTAGTCCTTCTGCGCCAGCCATGACTACAGTTGGTTTTCCATATGCAGAGATCACAACTCCAGATTTTTTTTCTTCGTGTTCGACTACTTGTCCTGTTCCAGAGTACGTTGTAACTGAGCCATCATTATGAACATGATCGTAAGAAAATCCGGAACCAGAGGGTGCCTTTACCCTCGGTGAATTATAGACAGGGACCATTACTGGAGGCCTTTCTACGTCATCCACGACTACAGTTGGTCTTCCAGGTTCTGTGATGACAACAGGCGGTATTTCTCCTTCATGTTCAACTACATGCCCTGACCCATTATACGTAGTCATAGATCCGTCGTTATGAACGTGGCTGTAAGAATATCCGGAACCAGAGGGTGCCTTTACCTTCGGTGAATTGTAGACAGGGACCATTACTGGAGGCCTTTCTACGTCAGCCACGACTACAGTCGGTCTCCCAGGTTCTGTGATGACAACAGGTGGCATTTCTCCTTCATGTTCAACCACATGCCCTGATCCAGCATACGTAGTCATAGACCCGTCGTTATGAACGTGACTGTAAGAATATCCTGAGCTAGAGGGTGCTTCCACCTTGGGTAAATTGTAGGCAGGGATTGGTGCTGGGGGTCCTTGTACGTCAGCCACAACTACAGTCGGTCTTCCAGGTTCTGTGATAACAACCGGTGGCTGCACTCCTAGATGTTCAACCATATGCCCTGATCCAGCATATGTGGTTATAAGCCCATCATTATGGACATGGCTGTAAGCATATCCTGAGTTGGAGGGTACTTTCACCTTGGGTAAATTGTAGACTGGAATAGGAGCTGGAGGTCCTTCGACGTCAGCCATAACAACAGTTGGTCTTCCAGGCTCTGTGATAACCATAGCAGGTTTTTCTCCTACATGTTTAACATGTCCTGATCCCAAATAAGTGGTCACAAACCCATCGTTATGAACATGGTTATAACTATATCCTGAGCCAGAAGGTATTTTCACTTTTGGTACATTGTAGACTGCTGGAGGTCTTTCCATGTCAGCCACGACAACAGTCGGTCTCCCAGGTTCCGTGATAACCATAGCAGGATTTTTTTCTACATGTTCAACTACATGCCCTGATCCAGCATACGTTGTCATAGATCCGTCGTTATGAACGTGACTGTAAGAATATCCTGAGCTGGAGGGTGTTTCTACCTTGGGTAAATTGTAGACAGGGATTGATGCTGGGGGTCTTTCCATGTCAGCCACGACTATAGTCGGTCTTCCAGGTTCCGTGATAACCATGGCAGGTTTTTCTTCCATGTGTTCCACTACGTTTCCAGATCCAGAGTATGTCGTCACTGATCCATCATTGTGCACTTGATTGTACGAGAACCCAGAACCAGTGGACCCTTGTACTGTGTGCCTGTTATAAACAGGAATAAAAGCTGGTCTGTCGACATCAGGAACAAATACAGTTGGTCTTCCAGGTTCAGTAATAACAACAGCTGGCCTTTCTACTTTGTTTTCAACTACATGTCCTGATCCAAAATAGGTGGTCTTAGACCCATCGTTATGAACATGGTTGTAAGAGTAGCCTGCACTGGACCCTCCAGCTTTTATTTTTGGTAGATTATACACAGGAATTGGTGCTGGAGGTCTTTCTACACTAGGTACGACTAAAGTTGGTCTTCCAGGTTCAGTCATAACTATAGTAGATTTTTCTCCTTCATGTTCCACTATTTTTCCTGATCCAGAGTACATTGTCACTGACCCATCATTATGCACTTGATTGTACGAGTACCCAGAACTGTGTGAAGGCAATTTTACTTTGTGAGTTGAGCCATGTACTTTATAAACGCCTTCTACTTTTGATACGACTGGCTTAGTCACTTTCTCAATTACTACTGGGGTGTCATCTTCTACTTGTAGCACCATTTGCGCCGAATGCATTGTTCCTGAACCTTCGTGATACAGATGATTGGAGTGGTAACCAGGCACCATATTAACAGGCGGGAGTTCATCTTTTTCCATACCAATTACAGGTCGGACGACAGGCGAAGTGGGCAGGCGATATGATCCCAGGGACAGAATTTCCCAAATCCTATGGTTGACTGGAGCAGGTAAAGGTACTGGCCTTTTAATCTCTGTAACTAGCACGTTCTGACTGTCATGCGCTGTGTATGACGTAACTCCACCTTTGTTCACTTGTTTGTATGAATAATGGGTCGGCACTTTTATATTAGGGTATCGGTGTCCTGGTGTGATTTTTCCTATTAGCGTTTCTCCGAGCGTAGGGTAAACCATAACTGGTCTCTTATTATAACCCACAGCTATATTAGATGATTCCACTAACACGGGTTGCAATAATTCTTCTTTGAAAGTAGATATTTGGTCGATTCCTTCCCTTTGTGCAGTCAAAACTCCAGACTGCAGTAAATTCTTCACCCCTTTTAGTGCAAACAGGGTATCGTTCAATTGACTAGTACCCAAGTACTTGCTGACAATTGCTATGCTGGGATGTACTGGTACAGACTCTGTTTCTATAACTTCTGAGACAGCAGGATATGCAGCTTCTGTATCAAAAACCACTGGAATCTTCGGTACAGCTTTGACCAGAATTTTATCATGCCCTGGTATTCTGAATAATCTGTAGTTTTCTGATGGATTTACTATTTTTGTCGTGTTGGCAGCATGATGTCCAAGTATTTTTGACATAAAATACCTTTTTATGAATGACAAATCTCTTTTTGACCTGACTCCATGGTCTGAAGCAGATATTACGGCGCAGCTTGCCAGTAGGACACACTGTAACAAAAAAAGACCAAAACTTTTTAATTGTTCTGAGGATTTTTGCATTGGGTTGAGAATGATGATAAAGTACCTATCATGAATAGGTACTGTAGGTTCATGACATTATGACTTTGGCTAATACATAGCATAAAATCTCATATTTTTATTTTATTACTTCAAATCCAATTTCTCTGTACCAAAGTAACAAAACATGTCCAAATTCTAGATTTAAAAATTCAGTACTGTATGTACACTCGTAGTACCTAAACTCTTGGCGCGCTTCATTTAACTACTTTTATTTATAGTGACCTATTTAAATAAAAATAAAAAAAACACATTCATAACTAATTTTAATGTAACTAGTAACTACTGCATTAAGTTAATTATGATTCATATTCATTACCCAACGCTTTGAATTAAATATTAATCTCAGCTCTATCTCATAAAAGACACATTGTAATTGCTAATTATGCTTGTGATGTAATTGCGAGTTAGCCTGAATATCCAATTGTTCCAAGCCTGCTTTGGAGTTTAGCTAATAAAATAAATGACTTCCGAATTTTACAAATACATAATACTAAAATTGTCATTGGTACAATTTAGACGACTTTAGTGTGAGAAGAAATACCTACCTCTAACTAACAAATAATTACCGTCAAATAGCTTATTTATTAGCAAAAATATAAAATATATTTTATAGATCAACACGATCTCTAAAATGTTATTACAAATCATTCGTTATTTTTAAATTTAATCAGGAAATACTTTTGCTAACCTCGTAAGACCGAAGAGTAAATTTTGTCGACTTCTAAGTATCGCCGAATGTGCTTTCAGAAGAACGAATAATTTGAAGTCGTAAACGCCGAGCACTTCGAGTAAAAAAATTTCTATGTTAGAGATTTTCTTTTGCACCCATATTTTCAGGGACCCTATATAATAGTGCATAGAGCTTATTTTAGGTAAAAAATAATAAAAAAATGTTGTCTCTTAAAAGAACATTCGGTATTACAGACTTTGAAAGAAAAAAGTAAATAAATTGTATTTTATACTTTAAAGTAAAACATAAATGTAGCCTCCTTAATAAATTAATACTACATAAAGATACAATAATGATATAAATAAATATAACTGAAATGGCACAAGTATTTTAATTTTATTTAATGTTTCATAATTAGTACTTTTAAAAGTACTATCGGTTTTATAACATACAATATTGATAGGTTAGAATGTATAAGAGGTAAAGTGAATAAATTCATGTTAATTATAATATTTATTAAACTAAAAATCAGAACGTTTTCATGGTAAATTTTCTCAATCATATCATACTTTTAAAAGTCCAATACACAATCCATCTCAATAGAAAAAATATACAAAAATAAAACTTTCACCATCAAGACCGAATGTTCCTTGCAAAGAACTATTATTTTCAAACGAAAAAAAATCTTACAAAACTTCATCGAATTGATAAAAATATTTTTTTTGCTTGTTTAGCAGTATTTTAACTTAAATGATACTGGTTAGTTTTTCAATTAAAGTACGTTTACGTGAAGAAAAAAAATTAATCGTACATCACGTCCTCTCCGAAGAAGCACCTTGTCAAAGAAAAATGATAATTTGACAGTGACATTTTGTTTTTTTTACATTAATAAGTTCGGATACCTGATTTTGAATACTTTAAGCCATAGACTATCACTCTTTTTTTTCGATAGGCGCGAATTTTTGAACTTAAAATTATCGCTAAAGTTTTAGTTCCTCTGATGGCACATCCGGCGATACTTACAATTCACCTCGGGAAATGTCTCGGCGTTACTGACTATAAAGTTTCAGTTCCTTCTGAGGCACATCCGGGCTTACGAGGCCTACCTCTAACTAACAAATAATTACCGTCAAATAGCTTATTTATTAGCAAAAATATAAAATATATTTTATAGATCAACACGATCTCTAAAATGTTATTACAAATCATTCGTTATTTTTAAATTTAATCAGGAAATACTTTTGCTAAAGCTAAGATATTTGGAAAAATAAGTAAAAAAATTCAACCGATAACATTTATGCTGGTTAAGGTGACATTTAGTCAAGGTGAAATTTTAATTCATCAAATCATCAAAATAAAAGCTCTAACTAAAAATATTGAGAAGATACTTACGGTAAAAGTCCACTGCATGGTTTTATTATTTTATCACTTCACTGTTAACAACACTTCACTTCTTCACCGATGCAAATTTTAAGGTAAATTTTATTATAATAAATACTAAAATAAATTAACTATGCGTACTGTTACGTTGTCGGAGTAATACTGAATGCGGTAATCGCGATCGTATCTTTTATATGAAAATCCGGAGAAAGTAAGGGATGCATATTGGACAAATGATGCACATTTGTAATGATAGATTAGCTAATGTAATGACATCAGCAAAGGATACGTAGGTAATGGGAATACCTATGTCTGAGTCCCAGGATCGTTAGGGTAATCGCTTCGGTTAATGTGTTATGACTTTCATCCTAAAAATGTTATGAGTAAAGACGTTTGCACAATTTGCATAAATAGATCGTGGTAATATTGTAATCAGTCCAATCAATTTTCAGAATTTGGGGAAGTATGTGCTATGAGTATGACTATAGATGAAATTAACATGCGTTAGTTAGATTACTCATGCGTGAACTTTACCTGCCAAGCTCGCACTTATTTCATAATAGTTAAAAAAGTTATATCTTGATCTTGTACCTTAATGGTATTTCCTGTAAAACTTAAATTAATAGCTGACACAAAGGTGCCTTGACTTTCATCCGCCACTTCTCAGCATCCGCCAATATGGCATGTAGTCTCTCTGATGGTAGTATTAAAACTTCCCTCTAACGTAGATCTTCTTTGGATTAATTCATTGCTGGTCTATGCAGCTACTTTTCTCTTATCATAGAGATCCTGGACAGTGGCCAAGCCAACCCAGTTATTCCTACGGTGGAAACAAATATGGAAATAGTCAAAAAAGATACTTACTGGTGGTGATGTACCACTTCTGGGCCTTATGTTTACCAGGTGGCTAAAGTACATAAAGACAGGTAAGATATCAATATTCCCAATGGTACATAGAGTAAACCATCATCATACATAGACTACATTGCACTGAGGATGACGCAGACAATAGGTCAAAAGTCCACTCCAATAAAACACAAGATGATTTTCATATGTTTAATGAATATCTACTTATTAATATGGAAATACTCCCATATTGTCATAAAATCGACATTGTTATTGATTTATTGACTAAACAGAAAAAGTGTTGTTTTCTTATCACATTTTTTTGGTGAAAACAAAATGACAAAGAGTCGAATCTGTTAATTAACTCTACGTTCGTAGTAACTTAAATGATAATGACTAGCTAATGAATGACTATGAATGACGTTAATTTATAGTTATTGTAAATATCTAACTTACGCAAGGGTATCTTAATACTAATGGAAGACGAATTTTTGTAGACATACGCAATCCTAACTTCGTTTATGGTATTAAACAAAACTCGTAAATCGTAATATCAACAAATTGGCCGCAAAATTAAAGTGAAAAGCTCTACAGATTTTGTAGGCTTGGCTGTTTAATTAATAGCTATTTATAATTTTTTGCACAGGTATGCACAAACTAAATTCAGCACTTCAGTATCTTCTGAAAACGTTATCTACAATTGCATAGATGCATAGATTCAAAGATGGTCATCTTACAATGCATAAGCATAGTGGTCACGTAGTCGTACATTAATATCTTATTATGACCAAATGAAGTCAGAGAAGCCGATATATTAGACTACATTACCTACATAAAGAATAACCATTAATCTGATTGTAATAAAATTAAGGAATAACAGTAAATCTAAAATTATTTGCCAATACACGATACACTAAATGGCAACTCTCCTAGAGACATAGGTACCTACTACTTACTCCCTTACTAATAAAACTTACACGCTCGTTGAAGAGTGTTTTAAAGTGACTTTTAGTATGGAAATGACATTTTAAAATAGTGTTCAACAACTGCGTAACTTTTTATTAGTAAGGATATCATTGTCAACGACTGGACAGGTTGTTTTAGTATTGTAACACACAATTTTATGGCTTCTATTCAACCATGGCACCACGCTATAAATGGTTTATCAACCAAACGGCCTAGTTCATCAGATACTGTTTACAAAGTATATAGCGTCGCCATAACATCGTGGTGAAATAGAGCCCCATCTTAATGATGCTGCTCAAAGATCACACGCAATAGCCATGCGCGTTGTATAGCGCCTGGGCTGGTGGAACCCCCCTTCCAGAATGTTGGGCTACTGATTTGAAGATAGTACTAACTCATGAGCTATGACTCTAGATACGCCAATGACAATAGCTCCAGTTAATCTACGCGCACCAAGGAACCTAGGCGTCAAACACATAATATGCCTCGACGGGTGCAGAGCGTGGTGTGACTGTGGCGACCCGTGCAGCAGTTCGCACATGAAGCTGATGTATGATTGTGATAGCTAGCCGAAGTGGACGTGATGCAAAGCAATTGCTTAATTTGCTTATGGAAATCGGGCACTGATCCTGGCGAAATAGAGCCCTAACTTATGATTCAACCGCTCAAACATCACAGACAGAAGCTAGCTCCAGTTAATCTACGCGCAACAAGGAACCTCAGCGTCAAACACGTGCCTCGGCGGGTGCAGAGCGTGGTGCGAGTTGTGGTGCGGTTGCGACGACCCGTGCAGCAGTTCACACATCATGTGTGTGACACATGAAGCTGACGTATGTGATGGCTAGCCGAAGTGGACGTGATGCCATAAGCAATTGCTTAATTTTCTTATGGAAATCCGACACTGATCCTGGCGAAATGCCCTAACTTATGATTCAACCGCTCAAACATCACACACAGGAAACTAGCTCGAGTTAATCTACGCACACCAAGGAACCTCGGCGTCAAACACATGCCACGACAGGTGCAGAGCGTGGTGTGGCTGTGGTGACGCGTGGAGCAGTTCGCACATGAAGCTGATGTATGTGATGGCTAGCCGAAACGTGATGCCATAAGCAAATGCTTAATTTGTTTATGGATAATCCTGGCGAAATAGAACCCTAAATCATGATTCAACCGCTCAAACATCACACACAGAAAACTAGCTCTTGTTAATCTACTCGGCGTCGAACACGTGCCTCGGCGGGTGCAAGGTGTGGTGCGAATTGTGGTGCGGCTGCGGCGACCCGTGCAGCAGTTCGCACATGAAGCTGATGTATGTGATGGCTAGCCGAAGTGGACGTGATGCCATAAGCGATTGCTTAATTTGCTTATGGATGATCCTGGCGAAATAGAGCTCTAACTTATGATTTAACCGCTCAAACATCGCACACAGAATACTAGCTCGAGTTAATCTACGCGCACCAAGGAACCTCGGCGTCAAATACGTGCCTCGGCGGGTGCAGAGCGTGGTGCGAGTTGTGGTGCGGTTGCGGCGACCCGTGCAGCAGTTCACACATGAAGCTGATGTATGTGATGGCTAGCCGAAGTGGACGTGATGCCATAAGCAATTGCTTAATTTTCTTATGGAAATCCGACACTGATCCTGGCGAAATGCCCTAACTTATGATTCAACCGCTCAAACATCACACACAGAAAACTAGCTCGAGTTAATCTACGCGCACCAAGGAACCTCGGCGTCAAACACATGCCTCGGCGGGTGCAGAGCGTGATGCGAGTTGTGGTGCGGCTGCGGCGAACCATGGAGGAGTTCGCACATGAAGCTGATGTATGTGATCGCCAGGCGAAGGGTCTCGATGCGGGACAGACGCTTCTCGTAGGCGAAAGTCGGCACCTGGGTGGGAAGAATGGTTAACATGTAATGATGATGTTTCGTCCGTCCTAGGTTTGGAGTTTAGATATCGAAAATGCTATATCATTGCAATGCTATAACCTATGAAAGTAATATGTTAGTCGTAGGTAGATTTGTAGGTCTTCAAACCAACATAAGTACTATTCAGAAAATTATCTATTTCGTGAATTCTATTAATGTTGTTTTTCAGTAACTGAATTTATAAAGTTTTCCGTCTAGCTTTTGCATTTCGAAAAATTCTTCTTTCGCTGTTTACCTACCGCGTGACATTGTGCGTCACAACCACAACGCTACAGCTTTATTTCTTCACACTAAATTCCTTATAAATTATTAGGTACTTACCTTCCGCCTAAGTTTGTCGAACGCTTCATTCAAGTTAAACATGCGCCTGCGTTCGCGGATATTTGCCGCGCGACGTTGCGCGACAGACGCGACGCGTCGCCGTGGCTTTTTGCCGCCGGGGGTGCTGCGCGACGACCCGCGCCCCCCGCATCCCGCTGCCGACCATACTGGACCAAAAATAAGTAATTAAAACTAAATAGTTCTTGAGTGGCGACCACGAGCTGGAAGACGTAGCGTGGGCAGGCCTCCCACTAGGTGGACCGACGATCTGGTGAAGGTCGCGGGAAGTACCTGGATGCAAGCGGCGCAGGACCGGTCTTTGTGGAAATCCTTGGGGGAGGCCTTTGTCCAGCAGTGGACGTCTTTCGGCTGAAACGAACGAACGAACGAACGAATTACACAAAACAGAAAAACTCCGGAACGGCAATCAAGAACGCAGTTGCGAGGAGCCCTAAGGACAACATAAAGTTCTGCCTTCCACTAATATAGAAAATTAAAACTAAATAATTACCTAGTACACATAACAAGGAAATTCAGGAACGACAATCAAGAATGCAGTTGCGAGTACAGTTCTGCCTTTCAAAAGTCTTGAAGTGGTAGGAGGACAAAAGTTACGCCGATATTATTATGATTCCTAGCACACTAAACATAGGCCTCTCGTATACATAGATGAGGATACCGTCAGGTTTTATTACGTGAATAGGGCCTGCCCATCTGGCAGGGAGAGCCTCGCATAACCCACTGGTTCCCTGGACCATTGGGTATGCAATTTCATTCATTTCCTGACGAAAAAGAAAGGCCTCTCATCCAGAATCATTTCCAGATTAGCCGTTTGGTCAGCAGCCTGCACCCAGCGTTTTCCAGCAATCTTTATACGGTCATCAGTCCACCTTATGGGTGGACGTCCGGAAGTCACATGCGTTGTACCTATAACTACTTGTAAAAGTGGCTTAATAAATATCATACTACTTTTGAAACATACCCAGATCGGCGGGTGGGAAGGCCAGGATGTCGGGGTAGGGCACCGGCGCCGGCGGCGCGTCCCACAGGGGCCCGTACGGAGACACTTCGCTGCCCTGCAACAAGCTGGATGCTGGAACTCT